TAGAAAAAGAGCTGATTACATGTAGCCCATACAGGGGACAGGGGAAAGTCTTGGAAACAATGACGTGTGGCAAACTGTGGAATGAAACAGCAATGTTTGGCTTGGAGAAGCAGCAGCTTGCAAGTATTTATGAGGAGGGCTGTGGAGATGCCCGGGCCGGGGGCAGCCTCGCCTTACAACTTCCGGGGCCCTCCTGGGCCCTTCAGTGCTGTGGCTTTGTGACTGCTCTGTCTGGCGTTTTTGTGAGATGCACGTAGTACGCATTTGCAAAATTGGTGACTAGTGAGGAGTATAGACTGTGTCCTTGAGCAAAAGTGATTTTCCTGGTGACTAACTGGCCTACTTAGGATAATTCTGAAGTCCTTGCCCTCATTAACCCACTCTGTCACCTCCTGAGTTACAAACACTAGTAAACACTGTTCCAAATATTTTCACTTACATTAACTTTCACATTTTCAGAGACATATGGTCCTCTGATTCACGAAGAGAAAGGGATATAAAAATGAAAGGCAGGTTTCATGAAGTTTTTTCTTTCGCTCTCTGAAGTCATCAGGCTTCTGCAACTCTGCAACTTTCGCCAATTCTAAGCTCCATATTTGTTCCCATTTTCCTGTCTCCGGGACTGTGACGCATCTTATAACGAGTGTCTTACAATCACGTATCTTAAATCAGTAGCATTATAAATGGGATGGAAATCATTAACTCCCTTCTAAACATTTCCGAGCACAGCCATCTGCATGAAGAATGAAGTCAAATGTCTGGGCCAGGATCCAGAGACCCAGAGGTCTTTCCGCCTCGTCCCCAGCAGCGATCCCACGAGGTCCAGCTGTCCAGCGCAGAATCACCTGCGCCTGGGAGATTCCTTTGCTCACGCGGCTCTGTTCTCGGGGCTGTGCCCCCTCCCAGCCTGTGTTCGCAGGTTGGGGTGCTGCCAGCCGCTGCAGGTGCCGCTCTGCCAGGCTGCTGTCTCCCACTAGGAGGCCGGCCTCTGCCCGCAGAGCCGCTTCCAGGAGCTTGCCCTTCGCCTTCCCTGCCTGACCTCTCGGCCGGGTTGCGCAGCTCTCATAAAGTGGTCGTAAAGGCCCACACAACAGGGACTGTATCCAGGAA